GAATCACCAATTTCTGTAGTAAGTACCTGATGCATTATTCAGCCCGTTCCCATTCATCAAGGTGTGGAAGGATGATTTTACAACATTTAGGATGTGTTGAATAAAAAGACACTTATTATTGAAATGCATCTGCCTAGCTCTTTAACTGAACAAGGCTTTAGCAATAATGCCTCAGTCCAGCTGTGCTTTTTTAAAGCTGGTTTGAGCCATCAGCTTGGAGAACGCGCTGTCTAGCAGAGCTCTGCTTTAGTCACCACTTTGCAAAAGATCCAGAAAAAAAAAAAAAACGTGTCGTGGCACAGTCAGTGGTCACCAGTGCTTTATCTGTGGACACTTTCACTGACTATCAACAAGTGTGATATCTGGAGAGAGGGCTAAGACCTCTACATAAACGAAATGGCCTATTTTATCCTGGAATTGGATCATGGAAGCCTTTTTTGTTTGTTTTTGGCCTGAAATCGATGGGGGGAGGGGTGCAGGGTGGAATCTAATATCTGCTGATGCCAAGTAGTTGTCATGAGGGAGAATAGCAGAGCCTGGTCCAGAGCTAGAGAACAGTTTCTCACTTCCTTCCTAAAGTTGAAAAACAACAGTCTGAAAATTTTGACCAAGGCAGCTGGTAAGAACGCGGTATCTGTTTGCCATAGGTGCCAGAACATATGATCACCTTAAGAAGACAAGAGATGAGGAACGCCTAAAGCGCACTATGCTTTCTGAAGTCCTGCAGTACATCCAGGACAGCAGTGCCTGCCAGCAGTGGCTCAGTCGACAAGCCGATATGTACGGTTACAGTAAGACTGCATTTTACATACCTATAGAATCATTTAGGTTGGAAAAGAGCTTTAAGATCATCAAGTCCAACCGTTAACCCAGCACTGCCAAGCCCACCACTAAACCATGTCCCTAAGCACCACATCTGCTCGGCTTTTAAATCCCTCCAGGGATGGGGACTCCACCACTGCCCTGGGCAGCCTGGGCCAGTGCCTGACAGCCCTTTCGGTGAAGAAATTTATCTTCACCGAAATTCTTCTTTCTATGCTTCAGTCAGGTGCATCAAATACATTTTTTGTCTGATAATAACAAATGCATTCCCAATTTATTACAGTAAGAACAGTCTGCAAAATTCAGAAGGGCAAGAAACTGTGGATAACAGCAATAGTGCTTGTTGAAGTGCAGACAGGGAAGTGACTAGTAAGGGCTCAAAATCTCAGTTTTCTCTATTTTACATTTCAGGAATTTAACTGCTCTTAATACAGTCATGGAGGGAAATGAGGTCTTTATGGATATTAATGAGGGCACAGATGACACTTGAAACGTTTCGGATGATTTTAGATGTAGCAACATTATTAATGTGTAGTCACCCTGCACAAAGCATTTGATTTAAAGAGCAAGCTGCGATGCAAAGGAAGTATATCCTGTATGCCACATGGTCCGAGCAGATGATTTGTAATTTCCCTGGTCAGTCTCCACTGAATTTTTTATTGTGTGCCGCCCCCCCCCCTTTTTTTTTTAAAACAGGTTTCAGACATGGTCTTCAGTCTGGGAGTGCTAAATATTTAGAAATCCTGTTGATTTCAGATCAGGGCCTGGGTTATGCCAGCTGAATTGTATAATTACTAGAAGTTGGGGAAAAAGTAGGTTCAGGGCCAATATATGCAGTTATTCTTAAAAAAGCATGAAGGCAATTTGAAAATTTCCTTTCTTTTCAGTGATTCCGGCCTGAGTCCCACGGTACCAGTTCCTTCAAATTCAGGTAACTGTTAGATGATGGTCTGTGATAAAAAGCCAGCCATACATCAGTAATACCGTTCTGACAGCCTGTTGGAGAGTGACTCTTTTGCTTCAGCGCAAAAGCGTCAGTCCTCAAGCCTCGTGGTTAAGCACTGCTCAAGTCAACATTACCTCAATCTGCAACTCATTCCACATGCAAATCCTGTAGGGTTTTTTGCTGAATTTCTAGGTTTTTCTGGCTACAGATGGAAAACCCATCCTAAAGCTACATTAACAAGGCAAGAAAGAAAAGAATTTTCACACGAGAACAAAATTTTATCTTTAAAAGATAAAGCTAATCCATTTTTTTAAATGAAGCTGTATAGCACATACCGTAGCAATATGAACCTGACAGAAAGCAGATTTGGGAGGGCAGAACACCAAAAAACAGTTGCCTGAGAAGCAGGCAATGGTTGCAGCATCAAGCACTCCAGAGTGACAGAATGAGATGATACAGGTTGCCTGTGCAACTTCAGTTTTCCTTTTCTATGAATATGCTTTTATATTCTTTAATTCTGTAATCACAAGTTATGGTTTTTTCCACCAAGAGGACCCCTACTTCTTTCAGTGCCTGGTAAGGACAGGTCCAGGGGTCAGTCAAGGCCCTCGTCAACAAGACTTCAATAAAATCCCATCCTCATTTGTTGAGGTCACAGGATGGCATGCAATGAGTGAGACTAGGATAAAGTTTTACTATAAGGTTGTTAAATGTTGCCAGGGAAACTGGCTTCCAGCTCTGCCTTTACATCCAGTTTTTATGTGGATGCTAATAAACCACTTGAACCAAACTTCTCAGAGGTGGCCACAGAGTCTACATGTTCTTCCTCATTTCTGCCCGGAGCCCTGGAAATTTGGGTCAGAATACCAAGCAATTAGTCATTGCAGAAGTCAATACGTACTATGTTTTAAACATATTTGGTGATAGGTAAGATCTGGTGGTTTGGAGAGAAGATAGCATTGTGTATCTCAGGCTGGGCATCCAGAATCCATGAAATAGGGACAGTATCCCCTCAGCTGAAGGGCTAATATGAAGACTGAAATTAATTGTTTGTCAAGTGTTCAGTGGTCAATAAGGGAGAAGAGGCCAAAAGAACATGAATTGTTTTGCCTGTGGAACTCAGATAGCATGCAGTGTTTACAACCAATATCAGATGTTGAACAAAACCCAAACAAAATACCATATAGTTAGTAATTAAGGAAACATCCTGCATACTGAATAAGGCAAGGATACTGCGGAAAAACTGCCACGTGTCTATATAATTAAAGGCTGCATCATACTGAATATACAAGAACGCAAATTAATGTTGCTTAACTTTACTTCTAGATTTTGAGATCCTGATTTTGCAGCCTTAATATGTTTTCTTTAATGTAGTTTGTGTGTGTGTGTTATTCCCTAGGTTTTTGAAAGAGTAAAACCAAATTCTGTCGTGTCTCATAGCACGCTCGTTCCAGGCTGTAGAAAGAGGGAGTGCTGCTGGGAAATAACTTCCTCTACACCTACCAGAGACTCACTACTCCGGCTTCTTTCTAGTCCTTCAGTTCTCTCTCTGATCAGGCTCCCCTCACCCAGACAGGCTCCCATCTGTCTCCTACAGGCGCACAGGAGAAGGAGCTAGAGAGACTCCCCAGTCCCAGAGGCAGGACCCGGACAGGGCAGGGTCTGGAGCAGCGGCCAGCAGGGTCCTTGGGAAAACAGAACTGCAGATTTCCCAAGATCTCATCACTTTGCCAAATTTGGGAAGTTTGTCCTGGGATAGAGACACCTACCTCTAATAGTGCTAAATATGCAACCCACAGCACAGGGGCAATAGGCTTTCTAAAAATGTAAATAAATAACCCTAGCTTTGTTCTGAGCTCTGGAAGTTTAAAAAAAAAAATACTACTAGAAAAAAGAAAAACAAACACAAACCTGTAAGTGGACAGCCCTCGTGAAAGCTTAAGCTGCACCAGTTATATTTCAGCAAAGTTATAAACAATAGTGAAAGCGAGAACTATCAGACTACCTTGTAATATTTCTTTCAGTTCTTACTGTTTATCATAACAGACAAAAATAAATCCACAGACTGCATTTGCTTTACAATATCTGCATCATATTTAAAGGCATTTAAGGAAAACTCTGCTTCATGAAGGTGTCAGTAATGCCAGAGGCATTGGCTGCTAATCACACCAATAAATAATCTCAGCATCCTTGCCAGGTACCGGTTTCACACCTGCCGGGAGTTAGTCCTGCACGCTGTGCGCACCCGGGGCACACCCTCCACACAGCACTGACCTCCCTCACCCCGGCTGGAAGAGTCGGTTTAGTCAGGAGGTACAGCCCAGCTTAACCATGGTCAGTGACGGTTTGACAGAAAGCTATGCCTGAGCTTTCAGTTCCTCCTAAAAGCCAGTGAGCCAGGGCTAACAGCAGAAGAGTCCTCATGCAAGTATTCACAGTGCTTAGCTATGTCACTTGCAAAATCATACCGTTTATCAAATCAGTGCAGGTTTTGTGTTAAGCCCTAAATAACCCCATCTGTAAACACTTGAATCATACTGGGTTAACATCACGGGATCTAATTGCCTCTGTGATAACACACCTAAGGAACAGTCACTGCTAAACTGCTCAGAGTTCTTTAGTGTTTTCCTTTCTTGTCTCTGCAGGTAGACGGAGTGCCCCACCACTGAACCTCACAGGTCTCCCAGGGACAGAGAAACTTAATGAGAAGGAGAAGGAGGTGAGGAAAGGAATGGAAAGATAATCTATATAAAACTTCATCTTCACATTGCAGGGGTGCTCACACCATCTGTCTCAGGTGCTGTGAATATTGCCTCAGCTGTATGCCCTGACTACTCTTTCCTGCTCACAAAAATCATTCAGGTTTTCCAGTTGGCTTCTTTATTTCGGTTACTGTACTATACGTACAACATAGCTGCAGCAAATTAGCTTATTTAGCAAAGAAAGGTGGAGCACACCAAGGTGCTGTTACGTGCTATTATAACATCAAGAGTCTGACATCCTCTCTTCCTCCGTTGTGAGACCGGGGTGAGCAGAAGGGTTCTTTTTGCTTAATGAACATTGATTTTAAAACTGGCAGAGGATTTCATCAAGGGCTTCACTGGACAGATCACTGAACCTGAATAGCGGAGCTATTTCTGTGTTATAGATATCTCACAGCCAAACCTCAACCAGTTATGGTTGGTTTTTCACTGTAACACTGTGAACCATGAAGGCAATAACAGTGTATTGTTCTTTTCCTGTTTTTTCCATATTTCTGCTTTACAGTGCATATATCAAGCTTTTTGTATGCACGTGTGGCAGAGAATGGAATCTGGCTTTCTTTAAGCCCTGGGTTGTTAGTTCAGCTTGGTGTTGCATTTTGCAGTCCCATACAGAGTGCTCTTCCACAGTCACCTAAAGCAATCAGAGGCGCAGGGAAGATCAACAGAGCAGAGTGAAACGGGACTGCAACCCATGCGGCAAGCCCCAGGAGAGGCGAACAAGGCAGCAAGGGCCCTGCCGTGTATTTATGGCTCGCTTTCTTCTGCAGCCCAGCGTAGGGCTGTCCTCTAATTCAGTGAAAGGCAACACTGGAAAACTATTGAAAAAGAAGATTTTTTTTTTTTTTAATAGAAGTCATAATCTGTCCTTAGATTGTCCACAAGGCAGATTTCAGTGTATGTGAAACGCAGATGTATTTCAGACTTTTCCCTCTGTGTGGAAGCCATTTCCCCTTCACTGGGGAGGGCAGCATTGCAAATCAGATCACAGATTCGCCATGGAACATGGCATTTCTGGCTCCATTCAGCATGCAAATAATCGTGACTAGGACATTAGTGTATGTGGGGAATCTGATTTCCTCGTCAGCTGAGACATAAAGTCTGAGTTCTCTGAATTCTGCAATTTCCTATCAATGAGGAACAATCATTAAGCATTTCCTCATTAAAAGGAGGCGGCAGCCAGTATCTCCACTGGAGCAATACGGTGCACCCTCTAGAAGGCGGCTGGCGGTTGGAAGCTAAATAGGAGCATTGCAACCTAACAGCAGAGCGCAGGGGCTTTTGAAAGCAATTCCTTTTACCAAACTTCCAAACCCGTAATGCCCTCCCTGCGCAGTTTCCATCCTAGACTTCCGGAGGGGGCAGGCGTTGTGTGCGTAGCTGCTTTTGTAGAAAGGTATTAAAGACTTAGTCTGCAGGGGATTAATAGACAGATGCCCTCCCTGGCTCTCGTCCAGCATGCTGAATTGCGGGTTGCAAGTCTCTTTGGCATGTGTACTTCTCTTGGTTTGTAAAGAACAACGCCCACACAGGACACACTCATAGTTACGCTCCTGTGAGCTGAGAGCTTGCTTTCATCCTCCTAGTTTATTTTTTAGTCAGGAATGTTTTTGAATGCAGCAGCCAGCAAGCTCCTCCCCTTCCTACCTGTGGATCGAAACAGCTCATAATGCAATTACTGAATGCCTCCCCTGTACAAAAAAGCACATTTAAAATGTTTTCAGAAAAATATTCACAATCTTACTCCCCCAACAGGAATCACAGAATGAAAGAGCGTGGCAAGTGTTATTGTTTATTAACTTCACCTTTTGTCTTCCAGCTCTGTCAGATGGTGAGGTTGGTCCCTGGAGCCTATTTAGAATATAAAGCTGCTTTAGTGAACGAGTGTAACAAACAAGGAGGCCTGAGACTAGCGCAGGCTAGAGCACTCATCAAGATCGATGTGAACAAAACCAGGAAAATCTATGACTTCCTTATCAGAGAAGGGTACATCACGAAAGCCTGAGGACAGACATCAGCGCTTTGGCTGGAGCAGACAGATGTGGAGAAGCTTTGAAGTCGCTTTGACAGCGCTGAAAGATTTTAACAGTGTTGAATGAAGGACATTTCCTTTTGTTTAAAATCTTTGGGGGCTTCTTTTTGTAAAAACAAGTAGGGAGCTTTGTTAAATTGTATGAATACTGACATTTCTTTGTCTGGTTTCCTTTTGACTCTGCTGTTTAACACTGCTGTTGTCAGAATTACGCTGCCACGTAGCTGGAAAGAATCATACGCCATGTAAGCTCATCTTAAATGTGAATGGGCATTCATTTCTAACACCTCTTGTAACTAAAAAGAGAACGACAGTACTTTTATTCTGACGGTGACACAGAATAAGGACAGAAGAGCAGCACGTAATGAGAGTCACACTTTGACTTTGTGTGAGTACGGGGGTATAGAAACGCAGTCCCCTCCCTTCTTGTACGCCTTCCTAAAACAGTGTCAGCTTTCGGAGGAGATAGCACATGCCCGAGGGTATAAAAATAGAGCTTGCAGTGGTCCAGTCTTTTTAACTTAATTGTGATAAAGGATGGGAAAGGACATTGCAGGGAAGCTCCTCAACAGTTGTTACCTTTATGTGATATTAGCACATATCACAGCATGAGAGCACTGTACAAACCAATAAGCTTCATCTGCTCGCTACTTGATTTGTGGTTGTGAAGTTATATATAATCCCTCAGTTTAAGTCTTCGCTGCTCCGGCTCGTTGGAAAGGCTGGATGTTACAACCAGAGCAGCCTTTCGGAACATAAATAAAAAGACGCTCAGTACCCTGACGTTCTCTCACAAAAGATAAGAAGCGAAGAGCACGACAGACTGCCCAGAGCACGCATGCCAGCCCGTCCTGCCCGCCTGTCCGTGGGGCCTTATTCCCTCAGCTTACCCCGTTCGCAGCGACATACCCAGTTGACCAACAAAGCAACGTTGAGGTGCAACAAGTTACTACGCACACGCAACACCGCCTTACATCAGATGAGCTGTTGTACGACTTAAGTACAAAACATTTGTACTTGAAAATACAACTGGATGATGAAGATGGTTCTTTCCAGATGCAGCTTGGCATGGTTTCCTAGGCAGTAAAGTCTTTATCAAACAGCTTCCATTGCTAACATATAATGCAGAAATAACGTCCCAGAGGTAACCAACAGCCAAAGCAGGTGGGATGTCGGGTGCTCTCAAGTTTGGGATCTCATATGGAAAAGTCTGACTGAGCTACAACTATACTGATACCTATGTAAGGTGTTTAGGTTTGGGTTTTTTTTTTTCCCCCCAAGAGTAATTATCCTGTGTACCTGAGGTGCCATTGAACGTGAAGTATTTTGGTTTGTAATAAAATCAAAATTACTTGAAACAATCTTATATCCGTGTTCCTGGACTCCGAGTGAGACTGTAAAGGTCACGCAACTGCCCGTATCTGTATCCATCAGCCTCTCGCCATGAGAGAGAGGAGATAAATGCACAGCAGTTTGCAGCACGGCCATATGGATGTGACCGCTAGATTACCTAGAAAATATTACTATTTAAAGAAAAGCAGCAGTAATAATCTGCATGTTGAAGATTAAAGTCTGTAGAAATTGAGACTGTATAGACTGGGAATGCCAAGGGAAGGGACAAAATAAGCTGTAAATCCTTGGGAATGTTTTTCTCGGCTGTCTTTTAACATTAAGCAAACAGCCAAACTACCTTTCCTCCTGCCCGGTCTCCTGTGCCGTCACTTGTACAAAAAAGCAGTAGGGGAGCCCAATACGCCGGTGCCCGCTGTGACCAGCCTGGGATCAGCCACGTCCCCACCCCGCAAACTTCAGTGGCGTCTTTGCCCCAAAGGGACCCAAACGGGACCGTGAGCGTGACCTGCTGTGACCAAACACACAACTACCCAAATCCGAGCTCTTGCCGAGCTCTGTGCTTTGGGCAGTGCTAAATAATTTGGCCATCTGGAAAATGTCAGGGAGAAAAGATTTCTGGAAAGGTGAGAACTGCGATCCTTTAACTGGCCAGAGGGGAACGAGAAAAGAGACTTTTCCAAGGTCAGCAGGAGAGCGCGAGGCGGCAGGGAAGCGAGGCTGGGATGTTTGCCCTGTGTAGCATCGATGTACAAACCAACAAAACCAACAGGATTTTCCCCTTTCACAGGGCATCTCCCAAGCAGGGAAGGTAAGAGGCTTCCAGCACGCTCGCGCCAGGGTCAGCACCTCTTTGCTGCTCCTGTTACCTTTAATTGCCAGGCTCTCGCACAACGTACTGTTGTGCTGCAGAAAGCAAGCCAGAAAAGTCCCGTCAGGAAAAGGCTGCCGGGTTAAAGAGCTCCGTCTGCGGCTGCACGAGGCTCGGGGGTGAGGTGGGGACCAGGGGCCGGGGGAGGCATGCAGGGGCTGGCCGGTGCCATGGCCACACACCCCACCGAGGCACGGCCGTCCCGCTGCCGAGGACGATCAGTCACCGGAGACACACCAACACCGGGGGTTTGGGTACAAATCTTAACCGCTTGTGGCAGCGGCTGGGGCCAGACCGGCTGCTGGGGACCTCTTCACCCAAGAACTTTCACACCACTTTTCCAATAAAATAAAACCCAATGAACGGACAAGCAAAACCCACCCAAACGGTGCCAGCTGGGGCCGAGCTCATCCGCTCAGACACGAGCTCAGCTGTGCTGGTTTTTAAACAGGGCAGGCTTTCTGCAGGAGGTTCCTCCAGGGCAGAAGGGCTCAAGTCAACGCCAACAGATCCCTGCCCCTTCGGTGACAATCGCCGCTGGCGCTTCCTCCCCTCCATGCTCTCTTGGGCACCATTAAACAGAGAGCAAAGAAAAGCCAGTGCTCAGGCACAGGGCAGCCCCTCTCCCCGTCGCTTTTGTCCCCCTCCTCCCAGCCAGGTGCATGCTGCTGTGGCCCCTCCGAACCATTTTCTGGCACACGAGGAAGGTGTTTTTTGGGAGAAAAGCCACCCCCGAGCTCCTGGCTGCCTCTCTGCCACGCCAGTCCCTCCTCCTCTAAATCCCAGCTTCTCTCCGACTCCTCACAAAATGTCTCCGTCGCTGCCTGCCAGACCCGGCTCCAGCCTCCCAAGAGCTAGCTGTCGCCTCGATGTCATTTGGAGAGGCTTTGAAAGGGGGGAATCTATCTTTATCCGCGCTGGGAAGCGCCATGCGCGGCTCTGGCACTGTGCAAGTAATTAACAATAATGAAAAGTTGGGGTTGCCATGGCTATGCTGTTCTATTTACAACGCGCATCTCTCCCCATCACCCAGACCCGCGCAGCAACCGAGGGAAATCAGAACCCCATTCACTGCCTTGGCGTGCGGTTTTATTTTTAACTGGGATGCTGGAAAAGGAAGGCAGCCAGGCGGGATGTCGGGGGCAGGACAGCGGCTGCTCC